AAGTAAAAAACAAATAAACTGCAACGCATTAAAACTCTCTCTCCACAGTTACAGTCCTGGAAATGACGAGAGTTTTTCCTTCATCGGGGAGAAAATGAAACATGTAGAAAATGTAACTGCAAAGTGAAATAAGAGCAGAAAGTGACTGTATTCTGTTAAACTTGTTTCATTTGACTAAATATTTGTATTTGCTTTTTCTGAAGCTTTCAACTGCATCTTGTGGTCATCATCAGTGGATGGATTTTGCTCAGTTGTCACATGGAAATAGGCGAGTTGTCATCATGTGACCTGTGTGAGGATGGAACTTGCTAATAGGTGGTTACAGACGCCTCCACTGGCTCCTGTTCAGTCACTGTGACACTTTTCTAATGGGCAGCTGTCGTCACGTGGCCACACTTGGCCCAGACGTGGGCCACGTGATGACAGCTGAGTTAACTCCATCCGCTGAGGAATACCATGTGTTGTAGGTGAAAGTTGCAAAAAAAAAGAATAACTGGTGTCCTACAAAGATTGACTCATTATTTCTCAAAATCATTTAAATTTGTGTGAAAATCTTGACTAAGCTTTCATTTGCGTCTTCTGGTCTTCACCAGTGGAGCGGATGTCGCTCAGTTGTCATCACAGATCGTCCCTCCATCTGCGACCTCCTGCTATCACGTGATGACAGCTGAGCCCTGAGATCTCCATGACAACTGAACCAACTTGACTTTGTGTTAAGATGTTGTCCGTCCATCCATCAATTCATTTTCTGCCTCTTATCCAAGGTCGAGCAGCAGGTCACGCAAAGGAGTCCGGACGTCCGTCTCCTCAGCAACGTTTTCCAGCTCCTCCTGGGGGGGTTTTCCGAGGCGTTCCCAGACCAGATGAGATATATAATCTCTCCAGCGTGTTCTGGATCCACCGCGAGGACTCCTACCGGTCGGACGTGCCTGGAAAGCCTCCAATGGATGGCGCTCAGTAGGTATCCTAAACAGATGCCAAAAACCTCCTCGGCTGGCTAGATACTGACACGAAAAGGAGCCCAAAGAAATGACATGGAGCCAGCTCCCTGCGGGTCCACCAGCTGCGGGGACAGGCGTTGAGTGCGGGGTGCAATGCAAGCCGTGTGTGCCATTCCCCGACTTCATAGACTAGGTCCAAGTACAGCAATGATTATCTTGTCAAACGAGACAAAAATTCTGGTTACTTTGAATAACAAAGACCACAGCACATCCTCCAGTTTCAGTTCAGCAGTTTGGGGTTAATTTAAAGTTGAAAACACACTTTGTCCATTTTCGAGGCTCCGCTGTAACGAAGCTGCACATTCTGACATGGACGGTTAGTGAACAAGGTGAAGACGTCGTTTTTCATTTCATGGGGACTTTAACTGGAAGGAAGTTCTTACATAAGCTGCAGTCACATGGCCACATTTTAAGGTTCAGGTTGGACTTATTTCATATTTGCCAGCCTGTGTGGCGCGGCAGATAGCTTATTAATTAAGTCAGACAGTCACAGTGGATCAGTAAACATGCGGCGATGGAGGATTCCTGTGCGTTTCCTCTCTGCCAGCTTTTCCTCTCTGCAGTGCTGCAGGCGTGAGAGTGAAAGAGCAGTGCAGGTGTCAAACCGCTCGTCTTTCTTCAGCACACATCCTAATCCCCGAGCAACCTCTTCATCACTCCACTACAGAGATCATTTACATATCAAGGTTGCAGATATACAGGAGTGGACGTGACTTACCACTCCATGCTGAAAGCGAGGGGAAAGGGACCTAATTGAACTCTGGCGTCTCGGAGACTCATTTGCATGAATGTTTTTCACGCAGAGTGACACTGCACTGTCTTCAGCTGAGCTCTGGGGAATTTCTTTGCTACTGAATGAACTCACTGTTGTAACTATCCAGAGCAGGGAGGAAGTGCAACAGCACAGATTGATGGATGATTGTCGGGCAGATCCCAATCAGGAGCACAAGTACAATATGCAGCGAGATAATAAGGCGGTGTCGGTATTTTGATAAGAAACCTCATTTAAAGCGTTCTGGATGTCCTCAGCTGTGGGGAGGTCGGCCTTATTGTTGTTACCGCTCTTTGTGTCGTCCTGTATTCCTAATGATGAACACATTTTAAAGCCGCTCATAAGCTAATTTATGGCGGTAGAAGAAGCACTCAAAAGCTTTTAATACTATAAAGTATGATACTGAAATATAGGCCTTACCTTGACTTGAAGATGAAGATCAGCTGACTCATGGGTAATGTCTTCTGTGTCTGTGGAGGAGCTTTGTCAAGAGTCAGTTACATTAACCCCTGATTATTACAAACTGTGGGTGTGGACCTCTAAAGACGAGGACATTTACGCTTGCATTTCAGGAACTGGACTCCCAAAAAGGTTCCCCACTTATTCCGATGAGAGCTGCTCAGTGAGGACATCCATCAAAAGGTTTTCATTACATTGGAAAGATATCACACTATGGCTCTGGAAAAGTTTAACAAATATTAAACCTTCAGTGGTTCAAAATAATATAATTCAAAATGTTCTTTTGTAGTTGTGATAATATAATACATCATAATACGTCCTCTGAGCAGCGCTGTGTCTTCAGGGGCAGATCGGAGGCTACAGTGAGTCGCTATCAGAAAGTGACAAGACGGGCCGCGGCTAGCTGGTTAGCATGCTAACCTCAGTAGAAGAAAAGCCGCAGCTCTTGGTGAGTGAAGGAATGAAGTTTGATGCTGAACTTAGATTTCTTCTAGACTGGTAAGTAAACAGCTGTTAATGCTAACTGTTTTCTAATGAAAAAGGCACCGTCCATTTACATTATGGGAAACGTAGGATGCCGTGTTTTCAGAGCCTGACACACACCAGGGAAGTTAGAGTAAATAAATATAAAACATATAGCTGATGGTGTCTCTTGTTCAGCTCTCAGGTTAAATTGCTCTGACCAGACAGGCCACACTACAATGCGTGTCCCCCAGTCTGTCACTGACTTAAAATGGTGAAGTGGACTGCACTTTTATAGCACTTTTCTGGTCTTATCGATCGTAGTCACATTCACGCATTCACACACACGTTCATACAGCACTTTTCTACCACACACGCACATTCACACACCGATGATGATACATCAGGGGCGATTTGAGGTTCAGTATCTTGCCTAAGGACACTTTGAAATACAGACCGGAGGAGTCGGTAAAGTCAGGAACCTCAAACCCACCGTTATCGAAAACTCAAACCCTGTGTCCTCTGTCCTCCTGCGCACGGTCCCCAACACTGATATCAGCCTTCAGATTATCTAATCGAGTAAAACTAAAGTTTTCAGGTGAAGTCCTGCTTTGTACAAATTCAGTAACTGAGTAAAACATATGTTCCCCCTTCATCCCGACGGCACGTCTGTTGGTGGATATAAATGGCAGTGGGAGGAAAGTGTGAACTGTAAACAGTAAACAGTATTAAAGTAAATCTAATGTTTATTCTGGTTGTCAACCGGGTCAGTCTGCGATGCTCGACAACAACCGAAATACTGAGAAAGTAAAAACATCTAAGGCTGATGATGAATCCCTGGATGGAGTGCTTTCTTGTTTTTTTTTGCTCTGAAGTCTCGATTCCTCACTTCCTCTGCACCGAGGCGTCCGTGCCCGAGCTCAGAATTTAATTAGAGTGAATAAGATGAATCTACGCTCTGATAAGTGAGGATAGGACACTCTTATTTGCAGCTCCGCTTTGTACTTCGAGCCGATAAGATGGGAGTTACCTTTACTGAAAGAGGACGCTGTAAGGGTCAGAAAACAATATGCAGGAGATGGAATTTGCATTTGAGAAGCGAGTTTGAACAGACTGTGCTGTGCTGTCTGCCGGTCTGAACCAGCAGCAGCAGCAGCAGCACAGGGTCCACACTCTCACACAGAAACACTTAAGACAATCCAGCTTAATTGTCGCATGCATGAGTCTACCCACTTAAGAGTTGATGTTAATTTTTTAAGAAGTGAATGACTTTTCGAAGCTAGAACACACACACACACACACTTACACACAGACGCTCTATTCTTAATCAAATAAACAAATAGATAAAGAGACTAATAAGCACGGAGGGCATGACATTGGAATTGTTTGTGTTGTGTGCATTACTGATGAACTGAATGTATTATTCACTTATGTAAACTAACACATTTACTAGGACCAGAAAAGCTGCTCGTCGCCGAACTTCAGATGTGACCTTCATGAGCAAACAGCAACTGGGATTGAGAGAAAAAAAAAAAAAGGTGATTGTAATTTCTCATGCGTTCACTGGAAACAAAGATCCTTCACATTTCAGAAATTGCTGACATTTCGGGGAGAATTCAGAGCTGCAGCTACCAACAAAATGAATTTGTATGCCACACTTTATGCCGTCACTTTACATACACTAAATGCAAACTCATTCTACGTGTCAAGCAGTGTGAATAAGAGGCATTCGGGCTCTGATCCTGTTATTATTAAACACTCAAACTGTCATTTCACACAAAGCCCCGACACAAAGACATTTTATCCGTTCAACAAGACTCCCAGGTTTTCAGTATGAGTAATGCGTTTTCCACAGTAGTGCTGTGGGTGCACTGGTTCACTCCCAGTTCATCCACAGGCACTAAAACAGACATCCACAGAGGACTGGAAACACAGAACCCACGAACAATGGTGAGGTCAAAGGGCCCACTTTAAATTTGCTGTGACATTCAATCAGTGGTGACCCAGATGTTAATATTTCCAGCTGTAACAATGAATTGCAAGGTATCAGTGGACGGCAGCGTGTTGCTCAGTCACTCTTACCCAGTATAAATAAAATAAAAATCATTATTAGTCTGTTTTCACTAATAATCATTGATTATGGATTTTGAAGTATGTGAATGTTTGGTGACTGGAGGTTCCCAAAATGCTGAGGTGGTAAAAGTCGCTTCCGTAGGCAGAAAATGAAGATAATCGTACAGCTATTATGGCTGGAAAGGACAAATGCAAGGAGTTGAAATAAAGTCAAAATGAACAAGGGTGGCCTTCTTTTAACGTTTATTTATAACAATTATACGTCACACGTAATGATAGGCCGATCTAAGACAGTCAAATTCCAGTGTAATGGCACAGAGGCGGGAGAAAATGTCGATAGAAATCTGGTCGATCACACTCCCAGTGTTTCTGTGAAGCTCGTCTCAGCCATCGATACCAACTCTGAGGTCTTTAGCACACGTATGCTAACATCTTCTTCTGATTCTCTTTACAATGATATTATATATTACATTTTGATATAAAAGAATCAACTGAATCGATGGCACTGGAAGTCAAAAAGAGAAGAGAAGACAAAGTGTGACCATGGTGTTAGCGCCTGGCTACACCGCATAGTCCTTGCGAAAAAAGGTGCTACTGGAAGCTTAGCGATGTAGCGGCTAGCCGTGGAGTCGCACCGTAGCTATCCTTTTGTTGCGGCTAGTTTAGCTATCTGGTAACAGGCTCCAACCACAATAGCTTGCTTACTAGCGTTTAGAAAGCTAACTGGCTTGGTTGCTAACCTGGACAATAAGAAACCACGGTTAATTCAAGAGAACACACTGGTATCTGCATCTCTTGTATGCGTGAGTTCAATGACTGCGGTGATTCCTCTGAAATGAACTGATTTCACTGTGATAAATCATGATGATACGGAGTTGTCAGACAGGAACAAACAGCCGAATGTGCCAACTGTACAGACATCAGTTGTAACTTGAGCTAGCTCGCAACATACGAAGCAAAGTTGCTGTGGAAGTTTGTTTGCTTGAGTTTGTTGTCAGTTTTAAATATCAGAACATCAGTTTCCTTCAGTCTCTCTCTGTACATCTATGAAGTAGAGCTATAAAGCCTTGGACAGTCGTGCAACTTCCCATTGGCTCTGTACGCAATCACGCATTATCTAAAACTTGCTTTAGCATTTTTCTGACCAACACCTGTAAACTACATGTAACCTGTAAACAAAGAATTCAAACGTTCTGAAGATAAGATTTTAGATGAGTAGATTGCACTCAGCTGTACACAAACTGAAACCTTTAACAAGATGATATTTACAAGTGATTCAATTCATAAGGCTATCATATTTACAGACACCTTTCCTATAACGTTGAAGTCTCTTGGGACCTAGGCCCCGGCCTGTAGCGGAGCATCCAGAGCTTTGATGTGGACACTGGGCAGAGTGAACCAGGCTAAAGGAAGCTCCCGTCCAGCACTGTCGTCCTGGAACTTGATATTAAGGTAGAAATCTCCGGTGTAGAGGAAGAGCAGAGCGCCCACACAGACTGCGTTTTCTTTGGCTTTAACCTGGTGACGGAAAAGAGACAGAGCAGACAGAATCATTAGCGGCCACCTCTCTATAGTTTCATAATGAAGCCGGCGCACGGTCAGCCAGAGTGGAGCCAGCAGGGGAGTAAGTTTGAGGCCGACTGCGGCTTTGATGAAAAGGTCCAGACAAATGCAGCATTTCCTCTTTCACTGAGGGACAATTACCAGGATTGTGCAGTTTTAACATTAAGAAATATAGGGAGTTCATTCATGCTTTCATCTGAATTTTACACTATCAGCTCTTTGTTCTGGCATCATCCAAATTTTTTTTTAAATCGCCTCCAGCTTGTTCAACATTCAGGAGTGAGTTTTTTTTTTTTTTAATACATATAAAGGCTCCTGTCTAGGATCCTTTCTCTGCTCAGGTTCTTTTTCGTATAAAGATTTCTGCCATGACCTTTAAAGGAACCTTCCATGGTTTAAGCCTATTCTGCTGAGCACGCTCTGGTGTAGCTTTTGAGATGTTTTTCTGGTTTTGCCAGAAAGCAACTGGTTTCTTTTCATTTCACATCACAATTCTCAGTGAATAGAAAAACCTGCTTGAGTTATGTAACAATCAGAGCAAAAGTCATGTTGTCTATCTCTGCTGTTCCCAAAAGGGACAGTATGTTAATGCATATGCTACAGCGTGCACTGCAGATCTACAAAACGTTAACATCATTTTGAGAAAACTAAAACTAACTGCAACTAATGAGTGAGCATGATTATGTAACTTGTATTTAGGATATGCATTTCTAAATTCTTAAATGTACGTGAAACATGTTGTATTTGTAAGTGAGAAACTTCAATAAAGATATGTTCTTATAGCTGCACACAACTTCGCTGTAATGTGTTGTAAACATATATATGTTTATATACGGCTTATAAACGCTGAACGTGGGACTTAAAGTAAAATGTCGGGTCAGTGGTATACTGATTATTGCACATACTAAATGTTTAATAACCAGTGCTGGAAACTTTTGAGTTCAAACTCATGGCAAACTGGATGTTAGTATAAAGCTGCGAGCAGAAATGTCTCCATGACAACATGAAGCATTCTGGTTAAAACAGCTGCGATACGTCCATGTTAAAACTAGCACTTAGCTCATTTCCCTTCATTATTAGTGCGTTCAGTGTGACCTCCACTGCTGTGAACTGCCGGCATAAACAACTTTACTTCTTAAGTCTAATCCCGTGACAACCCTGAAGCGTTGTAGTTACATAATGTGACGTAACTGTGTGAAATGTATGCCTCTACTTCTTGGTGGGAAACTATATTTATGTCAGTATTCCAGCCTCTACTGACCGTATCAATGTAGAAGGTGTTGGAGCCGATGAAGGTGACAGCGTCCTCCAGGTCGTAGTTTTGGACTCCGTTCTGGAAGTCCTGATACGGCACCACGGTCAGAGCCAGGGGTCCCACCGAGTTCTTGCTCAGATTGGTCAGTTTTACCTCCAGAGCCACGGCCTCGCCCACTTTACAGTCGGCAATGATGTCGCAGTCACATGGCTTCCCATTCACTAACACATCTGGAAATGAAGACAAGGAGGGGATTAGCAGGACTGGAGGGAGGGATGGAGGGGAGGGGAGGGGGGGTTTCTTTTGTCTAACATTTTGTACTAAAGTGGAACTGTGGAGGATTCTGGCAGAAACAAGAATTAAGATCTTTCAAACCAACATTCAGATCTGGTGCACGGTCCATTCACAGGATTCCCACCCAATCTCCACTTCATTTGTATTCATCAAAACTCGAGCCGGCCATTAATGGCCTATCATACTGTTTCTGGTGGAGGATCAATAGGCTTTGTTTGTCCTAAAATACATTTTATTGACATCAGCGCAGAGTGCCGGAGCTGTGGGTATTAAACTGAATTCCCTCCTGTTAATCTCATGCATGACTAATTTCTGTCGAGAAAAGGGGCGAATGAGATTGTTGGAACAATCCCACCGTGTGCCCGACACACACACACACACACACACACACACACACACCTTCCTGATGTACACTTGGCTTTACCACCCCACCCCCCCCCTTCTCTCCTGTCACAACCAACAACGAAACACTGAGTGAGTTCAATTCAATTCCGCTAATGTGTGGCCAGTCACTCCTGATGTGGCCCCTATTTGGCTAAGGTGCAGAGGGAGACACAATGATTTGTTTTGAACAACGAGCTCAGTGAACTGGGCTCCCGTACGCTCCTGGCAGACCGAGGAGGAGACTGACTCCAAACATGGGGGATTCAGGGGCACCCGAAGAGATCGCCCGAGTAATGACTCCTCCGAGAATAACGGTGGCATACACACACACACACACACACACACACACACACACACACACACACACACACAAACACTTGTCATACGCTTTCTAGTGTCACGCCCGCGGCTGTGATAAACACTGTGAGTCAGAGCGGCTGAGCCTGCGTGACAGCCTGATGAAAGAGCCGAGCTGCGCTCGCTGCCGCTGGTGTGCTGATCTGTTGCGTACAGAGAGGGGGGGTGAGGGTCGATGGTGAGGGGGGGGGGTATGAAGATAGACAGACGATCCAGCAGGAGGGAGGGAGATGATGGGGTTAGGGTGGGTGTGGGTGGCTGAGGCCGTACTGTCACAGGCAGCGAGAGAGAGCCCCGGGGAGGCTGGAGCTACAGGAGGGTGACATTCAGCTCCACGTCTGTATTAAAAACACACTTCACTCAGCGCAGACAACCAGCAGCTCTCACGAAAGGGCTCAGGAGACGAGTCTTTTTGTTTTTGGCACGAAAATAGAAAAAAAAAAAAGTGTCTCTCAGTTTGCTCATACTAGTTAGTATTATTGATGTTGGCGTCATCCACTTGAGGTCAGGACCAGGAGTGAGAATCACCACACACCCTGATGTATAGAGCAGGGTTAGGTATGAAGTCTCAATACTTGAAAGTTCCTAATTTAATTGAACTAAATAAAATAGTGGCTGCTTGTGGATTGATGCCACTGAAGGTTTGGCTTGTTCTGATGATTACGTTGCTAAAAGTGAGGTAAAAAAAATAAAAGCTGTGTGTTGTAAGTATTGTTTTAGTTTTGTTTTCCTACAAAGAGATTGTATTGATGCTGGTATAAAAAAAAAACATTCAACTGATATCCATATAATGCGCTGTAACCCTCAGAAGTTTCTTCTTTTGAGCAGGTAAAGAGCAAGAAGATATTCAGTAATTTAGCAAGCAGATTATTGGCAAAGCTAATACTGGATTTACACCCGTCTAAGATCCAATCACAATCACAGTCTGATCACCTCCACTGCAATGCAACCTGTGGGAGTTTACGCCTGGCAACAACACGGGTTATTCCTTATGTGGATAAAATATCCAGATACAGATCACATGGGAGGTGTGTAAAGGAGGTCTCATAACTTGCCTGCTCACACACTGTATCACAAACATTGTGTTTGGATTACACTGTTGTTAGTCACTTACATGAGATCACTTAACAGAAGCTTGAAAGTCGCCGTTTTAAGACACTCCTTTTACCTGCAAGTCTATTTTTACATCAGGCGGGAGAGTAAAGAAAGTTGTGTTTGCCATGAAAAACCAGGTTCCCCTTTAAGTGTAGGTGATGTGAATGACATTACAACTGTAAATCTAGTTGTTGTAGCTGAAACATCATTTCCATCACCTCCTGCAGCTGTAAAGTGCTTATGGACACTTGTGGATTTTTGCTTTTCCTTGTATAACCTCAAGTGATGGTGCATTAGACACCAGTGCACACACACATACGTGCACACACATGTATAACAGAATCTTTTCATAGCTGGTAGCGCTGAGCCTATAGTGACACCTTAGCAAGTAGTTATATTTAGTTTGTTCAAAGTCTTGTTGCTAGGAGATGTGCAAATTATAGGTAGCCTACATCGGCTCTAAAACTGGAAATAAATTCTTTCACATTAAAAGTGAACAAAAGAGGATGGTTAGTCTGTACTCCCACACACATGCAGCTCAGTCACACACACCTACAGCCTGTACACTTGCTTAAGATTTTCTCTACGCTGCTACCCTGGATTGTGTATCAGCACAGAGGCAATCAGCTGATTTAGATAACCGACACGTACACAGAAAAACAAGCAGTGGGAGCAGAGGGAAGAGAAGGTGGCCCACTGCAACTGTGCTCAAAAATTACTTGTTAGTATATATATATATATATATATATATAAAAAAAAGATTTCCTCACAATTGTGGAAAATTAGTGCTGATGAGATGAGACGACACTAAATAAAATATCCACATGTTTAGACTGATCATCCTTTGCTTAACCTTCAAAACAAATAACCAGGAGATAAAGGCTCCTGGTCCTGGTTCTCTGGGGGCTCTCAGCAAACATCTTTGCATCTCCCCAGAGAGGACTCGGAAGGTCACAACAAAACACTGCTTTTTAAAAGCAGAGCTGAGTGCTGTAGTGCCACTGTACCAATGCTCTTTACCTACGCAGCCCTCTGTTAAGTAGGTATGTCGAGGAATGCAGTTTTCCCAGAGGCTGAATATGCATAGGTTCCATCCCTCAGGCTTATAGAGGGAAATTATATATAATATATATAGATATAATATAATCTGAGGAAAATATCTACTTGTGATTTTTCTGATAAAAATTGAAGTTGAAATTGTCATGCATTCAAATGGACCTCTGTATTTGTGGCCTACAAAGTACAAAAAAACAGTTTGTCTTGTATTTATCAAAGTATATCATGTACTACAGTAGTGTTTAAATATAATTAGAACATTCAGAGGATAAATATTTATTGATTTTCACAGTCCAGTTATGATAATGACAAAGTAGTGGTACAACCTGTAGCGCTACTGTTAGCAGCTCCGCACTGTAGCTGTGCTTAAGCTAACGTTAGCTTCTCAGATTGTCTGCACAAGCTAGTTCGTAGCCCTGAATCCTGAAAGGTCTCAACTCAGAGATTTTAAGGTCAAAATGTTCAAAAACAGTGATACAGTATGATGTGCTGTAAAGTTTAAATAAGTTTCTGCCAACTCTGTTTACCAGATGTTTGTTATTTATATTCTAAAACTGCTGAGCTACTTGTTAGCTTCCTGCTAGCCACTCAGATTCATCACGTTGTATTCTGCTTAGTGTAAGCTGGTTTCAGCCCTTTACATCTGTTTGCCCCTGTTGTCTGGGCATATAGAGTATTTTAAGCCAAATTCCCAGTACAGCTGTTCTCATTTACATATTTTTCCAGTTTATTTTGTCAGACAACAGGATGAGTACGAAATAATGCCTGAGATGCGGCGCATTAATGCTACATGCTAACCAGCAGTCACTTCCAAGCTACTGCTCTGCTGCCGCTAAAATCCTGATTTAGTAACCCGCGACGTCGTCTGACAAAATCACCAAACACATGAGTTAAAGACAACAAATGTGCTGTGATTTCGGCTACATGTACATGTAGAAATCACTCAGAGACAAAGAAGCACAGCCTGCGCATGCGTAGCTCATTCAGGTCTATATCTGATTCTGAGCAGGACTGAATATGTTACTGCTCCTCTCTGCCTCTCAGAGAAGACTGAGAGAGGTGTGCCAGTCACTCACGAGGCAGTACTGGGGACTGTAGCTAAGGTTTATCCAAAAAGTCACTAGATTTGTCACAAGGTGCTCTTTTGAAAAAAAAGTTAGAGGGGTGTGAAAAGTTGCTAAATCTAGCGACTAAGTCTCGAAGTTGGCAACACTGCTGCTGACAGCTGTCATTAAAGCTGTTAAATGACACTTGTTACACTGCTGATTATGCAACTCGAAATTCGAAAGTAGCAATGAAAAACAATCACTTGTTCAGCCCTGCAAATAGTTCAGATCCTTGCTGCACTTTTTAAAGGCCCACTTTTTTTCAGAGGCTTTAACAAAGACATGAAAGTCAGTTTCTTCCCAGCCTGGTGATGATATTAGCTGGAGGGGGGGAGGAAAGGAGGACGAGCTGAAGAGGAGAATAGAAAATGAAGAGGTGAGTGAGCTGCAGAGGAGCACAGTTTTGGCCCGTTAGAGGAATTGTCCTAATAAAACAGGCCACTAAACACAGAATAGGTAAATGTCAGCAGGAAGGAGGATGGAGGATTTGGAGGGAGAAATATCACTGCGACAAAACACTGCTCCAACAAGCGCTGCGCAAGCAACAGGTACATCACAGGGTGAGTGTGTGTGTGTGTGTGTGTGTAACGGAGTGTGTGGTAGTCTTAACATAATGGTGTTCGTTAAGAAATGACTCAGGAGGCTCATTTTTCATACGCTGGTTTGCTGTGTTGCGACGGGTTCATTAATAAATTCTGAGAAATAAGAGGAATTGATCTGTTTATTAATTTCCTGCCCATGCTGACGGGCAGCTACATTACTTACAACATGTTACATAACCCGGGAGCTTGGATGGGCTTTTATGTTAGCACACACACACACACACACACACACACACACACACACACAGACACACACACACACACACAGCTCTGCCCAGATGCTGCTGCTGCTGGAGTCTGCAGAGGCAAAGCGCTGCGGCAGGCGTCGCCACAGCA